TTTTTGGTTTTTTTTTTTTTATTTTTTTTTTTTTTTTTTTTTTTTTTTTTTTTTTTTTTTTTTTTTTTTTTTTGTAAAATCCATTTAAGCCAGGAATAAACTGTCCTGGTGCAACGTCCATTGCCGGCAATGGATGTACTTGAAACAGCCGGCATCAAGAAGCTTCCTCTGTCTGTCTTGGAGGATTTACAATTTTGTTGATTTTAAGAAATTTCAAGCTGGTACCAGGACTGTAACTATCTGTCACCTCTTAGTAACTGTACTGTACCTTCTGCTTTGGTCATTCTCCCTTTCTGTATTTAAAAAAATACTGGTTTCCTCTTCAAAGTAAAAATAATACCAGCCAGTATTTATGTAGTGCTGCAAAAAGCTGTGAAGGACGAGTGTGCTGCTTCCCAGTACCTGGGAGTAGCTCACTGGTACCAGTCCTGGAAGCTGGTGCATCACAGAGATGTTACTTGCCTGAATTTGTTTTCCTAGGAGCGCTATTCCCCCGTGGAGCCTTAACAAGGAGTTTTTCTGTCTGCAGATGTTCTCACTCTTTGGGAAAAGAAACACACAAGATCCATTCCTTTCCTGTCAGGATTTTGATGCAGTTTTGGCAGCAAGGGCAGGCACAGGCTGGAGGTGAACACCTGAGGGTGAGAGCTTGGTTGGCAGGTGGCTGGGTTCAGAGCTCCTGAGGTCTGGGGGTTTGTTCTTATTAACTGAAGGGCAGAGTAGAGCTACAGAATGAGAGAGGAGGCTCGTGGTGTGCATGTGGTGGAAGAGGGGGAGAAAGCAGGAGGCCCTGCACCCAAAGTGAAACAGGGACCCTCTGCTCTTGTCCGAAGGGATGCAGAGAGGTTTCCTGAACATGCCTGGTGCAAGGGGAGAGGCTCTGGGAACAGGAGCAGTGACAAACCTGGGGCAGTAACCAAACAAGGGGAACCAGTCAGCTGGATGCAGCACATGGTTATTTAATTTTGATCCAATAAGTTTGAGGTCGTTTTTTCACTTAATGTTATGCAAGAACTGGTTTTATTTACCATTGATTTCCCCCTCCCCTCCTCCTGTGGATGAATAACTGAAGTCTAGAGGAATAAACTAATGCTACTGAACTGTTAAATTATTTTGTTTAATATTACACTTTGAGTATCTTTTTCCACATAAAATCTGTTTCTGAATTACAAGCGTTTTCTTTACATTATTTAACAATGTACACTGTAAAAAATGAAAAAAAAAAAATAAAATGAATTGAAACTTTGGGCTTCCCTGGCCGTAGTTAGTTGTATGTTTTGCACTAAACCCAGGCACTGCGCTCCCTGTACAATTGCGCTTTGTGCTGCCATTTGTTACCTTTGTAGAATATTTAATGAAATCATTCAAATAAACCAAACCTGCTTTTGTTGAGCTGTGGGTTTTCTTGTTAAACTGCAGGTTCCAACCTCTCTGGGCTCTTTCTGGAGTGATTTAACTGTTAACCCAATTGATCAGTTTATCACAGGGAAGTACAAGAAACCCATTTTAATGCAGCCCTTAACGTCTCAAAAGCAGTGATCAGTACTGAGCCTTTAGCCTTTTGATATAATAGTCTGACCTAAGGTACTATAAAGAATAATTCAGAGTGGATCTTCTTTGAGAGGAGGGGCTTTGAAAGGAAGGGGAGGAGAAGCTGTGAAGGATGACGTAGAAGCAGTAAGATTGCTTTTATTGCTGAGCCTGTCAAGTTAACAAGTAGCAGGGAAACAGGCTGTGAGCTGTGACAGTCCAGAAGTTGGTGGCTGTCCCTGCTTGAAGCACAGGTGGAGCTTCACTGGCTGTGGTTCTGTGCTTCCTTTTGGCAGTGAAGCTCGAGCAGGGTGTGTCACAAGGACTGGGCCAGCCCAGTCCCAGAAGGGTTCTACTCTTTTGCCATTGGGTCCCTTGCCCTCCTTTCTGCAGGGGGGAAGGTAGCAGGGGTGTAGATGCAAACTTGGGGATGGAATTCCTATTATAAAACGGTGTGTGTGGTAGTAGAAGAGTGTAACTACTTTATAGGGTCATTCTCAAATAGCTGTAGACTTACCAGGAATTATTTGGTATTTCTAAACACTAATTGCTGCTGCATTTCTTTCCATTTTAAGAACAGCTTCTGTTATGAGTCATGCTGTGCACGGCCTTAAAAGGGGAAAAAAAGTTCCAAGTACAAGTTTTACTGCCCTTTTCAAAGGGACCAATCCTGAGGTAGACTCTGCATGCAGGCATGGCTGTGCCTGGACTGTTTCCATAGGAAAACTGGTGCAGTTGGGACTTCTAATTTTTTTGTTGTAAAAGTTTAGAGCAGCTTTGAATACAGGAATTCTGCATGTCTGCACATTCCCTTCCTAGCAGGTTTCAACAGCAAGTGCATGACTCAAACGTGTGGTATGTATCCCTTCCCTGAGCTGTTCCGAGGGCAGCACTGATTTGGGAAACTAGTATGGTGAAATGTGAAACTTTTCAAGATATCATCTGTAACAGTTAATTACAATTTGTCCTGTCTTTCCTTACTGAAGTCAGTCCTTGTTCTTTATCCTGTTGAGGACGTAAGTGGATAGTAGAGGATCTTCTAAGGAAGGAGGACTGATTAAGTGATAAAGTAGCAGGAACAGGAATAAATGCCAAATACGTTAATGTATTTCTATTTAGACAGCTTTAACAGACTTGAGCAGTGATGGGAAAGCACAGGAACAAGGTCCTGTTTCAAATCTGACATTGATTTGATGGTTGGACTAATCAAAGAGTTAGTGTAAATTTTCCTGATCAAAGCTCTTAACTTTCAGTACTGCAGTATCATCCTCCTTGTCTCCAGCACTGCACTTCTGAAAAACATGACTGTATCCAGTTTGAAATACTGCTTAAAAAGTCTTCCATTGACCTTCTTACTGAAGGAAACAGCTGTTGCTTTGTTCTAGCCTTTAAAACCCACTTGAAGCTTTCTGTTGCTCATCCTAAAGCAAATGCAAACCGTGGTGTTGTCTCTCCTACTTACTTGTAACTTGCTGGTGTGTTCACTTCTTTGACCTTTTTAAACAGGAAAGGAGTTTTAATAGCTTGAAGGGCACAGAGGAATAACAGCTACAAGACTGGTGTGTACTTTATGTTTATTTTTATACTGAAAAGGGTTGAAAGCTTATTTAAAAACAAAAGTGCAGCTACCATTCGTTTTACAATGGATCCAAGCAAACCCTGTCAGAGGTGCTACAGGTGACTCCTCGGCAGTGGTCCCAGTGAGCTCCTGCCCCTGAGCTGCCCTGTTGCACAGGCACAGCTGAACCTGCTGCTGCATGAAATGACATTTAATGTCAGCTTGTCGTGCAGCCACAAGTCTTAACACTGCAGGAGCACCAGTGATGGCTTCTTTATAGAAAAAGACATCTGAAACATGTAATGACCTAAAAGTACATTAAGTCTTTACTGGCCATATTAAACTCTTTTGTGTTGCTTCACCATCGTGTACAGGAAAATCCATTAATGCGTTAGACTTCCTCACATAATTTGGAACAGCCAACTGCAGTCTACTGATGTAATCCAGTATGGAGGTAATCAGGTATCACCAGGTGTCTTACGTAGGTTCTAGCCTCCTTTTCTTCAAGCTTTCACTTCTCCTGTAGGGGCTGTGCTCTGCCAAACAGGAGATGGTGAGAAATTGAAGTTTCTTAAAGCTTTTTTTTTTTTCTTCTTCTAAAAGTGCTTCTCATTCTTTTTCTAGCTCTTCCTTGAAAGGACACTTGGATGGAAATACCAGCTAGTTCCCATAGCCCGCTATCATGATATCTGCAGCCAGGTCCAAGAAAAGAGCAAAGTTTATCCCACTCCAATTTACTAGTCTAACAGTGTTGCTTTCAAAGCCAAGGACCACTGTTAAGGCAGAACTCAGGTCATTTTTGGTAGCACGTACCTGGGGTATGCTGGTTGGCATGACTGCTGGTGCTTACAGAGGGAGCAGGTGGCTGCAACTGTGCAAATCTAGCAGAAGCTTTGTGGTGATTCATTCTGTGAGGTGTCCTGGTACGAGTAGTTATTTGATGATGTCCATGGGATGTTTCAGGTGTCTGGTGTTCTGCTGACAAGTCTGCCATTTTGTGACCTGTTATCTTAAGATCGGTGCTCTCCAAGGAAATGTCCCAAAGTTCAGGATCATCTATAAGGAGAGAATAGGTGATTGAACTAAAGATGATAGTACTGCACTACAGGAATGACAGTAACTCCAGGACCAGACCACTCTTCAAGTGGTGGCCACTACAAAAGTGAAACTGGAAAACAGCCTTTGTGTCAGTGCATGGCAGGGAAATGGCACCACCCCTGTGCTCTAGACTTAACCAACCTGCAGGAACTGTGGTGTGTGACCCAAATAGCCATGGTTATGTTAAGGCAGCCCCCCACCCCGAAATATGTTCTGTTTCTGTGCAATTTCACTTGAGGAAAAGGGTTTACTGAATATGTATGACAACTCCCTGCTGGAAAAGCATGGTGTGCAATCCCACATGATGGACATCATTTCCTTGCCACTCAAGCAAGGCTTGTATTATTAAGATCAGACTCATACTCACACTTCTGTTATTCCAACCTCTTCAGACTTTTTTCTTTACACTCTACTCTTCAGAGTTGGTTTAAATGCTTTAATAATTTAATACTGATTACTTTTTGACTGACCTGCAAAGAACTCCTCTTCTATTGCTGGCTCCTGCTGTACTGCTGCTGGAGTGCTGTGCTTTACAGGAGGATCAGATGTTGCTGGACAGAGGTAACACAAGCAGAAACTAATATTAGATATATAGAAGAACCCTTCTGCTCCTTCTTAACAGAACATGACTCTGAAATTACAAACAGCAGCTGCCACCAGGCACCTTCTCTTTTTTTCAAGAGCTAGTTCTGTTTTGGTAGCAGGATATGGAATGGGAAGATTCTGTACTTGCTGATGGCTGACAAGACCAACTGCAGTACTTTAAAATGGTTTTTAGCCTCTTTACCCCAAGTTCCTGCTTACCACACAGCTGATCAGACTTCCCCAGGACTAAAGAGCAACATACTAGTAGCCAAGGCAGTGTCTGTTTGCCTGCAGCTCCCTCAGTGAAGTGCTGCAGCCTCAGCTCAGGTGAAGCATGTTGATGGTGCTGACATCAGCTGCTCTGCTGCATGAAGCTTTAGGATGATTGGAAAGTTTCAGTTTTAATGATGCAGTTTTAGAGCTAACATTCCTGCCACTTTGAGAACATGGGAGGGAAAGTCTGGTGATCCTCCTTCCTTTGGCCTCCAAGGTGTGTTGACAGTACAGTACAAAAGCAAATGCAACTGATTGGGCTCCTGTACTGAGGGTAACACATGCCTGCCAGCAGCTGTCATTAAAACTGACCATTTTAAATGCCAAGCCTTACCCTGTTTAACGCTAGGAGTAACAACGGGAGCCTGATGTTTTTTCTCCATCTGTTCCCGGAACTGTTGCTGTAGCTGCTTTTGTCGCAATTTCCGCTGGTAAGTGGCATCACACTCCACAGCTGAGGGGTCTGTACTTCTGCTCCTCCCCATCAGCAAGCACAAAGTTAAGCAGGATTTCAGCAATGACATTTTATGAAAAGAAAAATGCATAAAGAAATAACATCAAAGAAATTCCACTGAACTAGCACCTTATGGCATCTTCCAAATTGGGCTGTGTGTTTTAAGAAGAACAGTAACTTCTAACATAGCTTATAAAGGAAATGTATAATAGCAGTCTCACCTGGAACTATTTGGCTGTTTCTGATCTACTGTCCCTACAGCAGCCTCTGTCTGGCCAGGCTTACAAGTAGATGTTGTCTCACAATGCTGTCTTCCTCCTGTGTTCTGCTTGTCCACACAGCTATTGTATCTGGCTTTCTCTATTTCAGGCTCATAGTCCTGTCTTTTAGCTGTGATCAAATCTAACTCGGGGGGTACCTGGTAAAGTAAAAAAGAAAACAATCAGATATTTCATTTATCAAGTTCACGAAACATGCACAGCCTTTTTCCATATAGTATTATTGAAAAATGTAGTTTGTTTTCTCTAAGTGGAATAGTAAGTTAAGAAACCGAAATGCATTTTTAGACAAACACATTCAGTTAGTTAATCATTGAATTGATTGATGCAGAATTTCACAGCTTCTCAGACAGTCCCACAAATAAAATTAGTGTTGCCAGTTCCTTTTCCACGCTTGTATGAAAGGGCATGGCAAAGGTTGACTCAGCTCTGCAGTCATGAGGTCTCTGAGGAAGGTACCACCACTTTTTATTAAAGATGGGATGGTTTGGTTCTGTGATTTTTACAAATTCATGGCAATGCTACCTTGACTTGGTGAGGTGTCACTTTGGATCAGCTCCTACAGGAAGCCATGCTAGCTAGACAGAATGACCTCACGGCTTTAGGCTGGCCAGCAGGGTTTGGTAAACCCTAGTATGATGAGGGCAACTTCACTATGAAATTCCATGGATCTGCCGTTGTAAAAGGTTTGCTTTTTTTCTCAATGAGCAAGGTAGGTTGCCACGTAGAAGCCTGCTGCCCCCAACTGGTACACATCAGGAGCTAACAAGATTAATGTTGGTTACTGAAGTGCAGCCTCAGTAATGGTGAGGACAACTTTCATACTACAGAAACTGCTCTGTTACCTCACAGCGTACTTATAAATTGTGACAGTTCTGAAAGAATGAAGGTAAGGCTTGTTTGTCACTGATGATGTGCATCACAATTTCTTGTCTCTCTCTGGACCAAAGACCTCCAGAAGAAGTGTTTCTCCATGGTGGTGGTTACTTCAGAAGGTTCACTGTTTGACTATTGCTTCACAAGTAAAAATAACAGCAAACTGACTGCTAATGAGAAAAGGAGTCAGAAAAGCAAAGCGAGATCTAATATGGCTTCTTAATGTTCAGTAAGGATAAGAACCATATTATGGCAAGGAAAGTAAGTGCTTAGATACACATCAGTCGTAGACGCCAGCTCTTCATACCTTCAAGAACCACAGGTTGCCAGTAGTATTGTATCCTGTGGTAACATTTAACCTGCTGTGAACACAAATGTATGCACTGCTGACACTGAACAGAGAGACCGAGACAAACATGGCCACAAATGTCACATGAGATCTGGAGCAGGATACTGTTTCTTCACTATAGTAAACTTGCCTACTGCAAGTAGTAAAAATGTAGAGTATTTTTGGCAAAATATGAATGCTTCACAAAAACTAGCAGGCAAAGGGAATTGGTCTTTTATCTGGAAAGATTCAGGGATGAGACACATACATGTAATTATTTATCATCTTTTTAGTATGAAGGACCAGGAGCAGCAGACATCTAGCAGTGCCTGCTCTAACAGCCCATGTACTGCACCTGGCGTGGAAGCTTATTCACGGCTCGTAGGTAGTCTTTGTCTAGGATGCAGTTCCCAAGAGCATTCCCAAAGCACCTGAGAAATAAGAGCGCTCACTGTGACTGAAAATAACACTTAATTCTCAACTAACTTCTGAAAACGTAGAAGTACTGATCTTCACTTACTTGAGTGCCCTCTTCAGTCCATCTGTTACTGCCTCCTTTCTTGCCTTTTCTAGGGACAAGGCCTTAGACTTTAGGCCTTCACTGACTCCATACCCCACATCTTCATGGTATGACCCATCCTGCAGTAAATTGTTAGGAATAGTAAGTATAAGGAAATTTCTGCACATACAGCACTTCTTGTTAGATGCTGTGCTTCCTAGGCCTGATTGCTTGCTCTTAGCTGATTATTCTATAGCAAGGTCAGTGTTTTGGACACCACTAGGTTCTCTGGTATAGTACAGTACTTGAGATCCACAGTCTGACCCATGGATGAACTTTCATTCACAGCTTCAGGAAACTGATCAACTATAGACAAGATGAACAGAAAAATCCACTTACCTTAAGCTGAACTTTCACAAATGCACAGACCCCTACATAGAACCTGCCATTGTTGAGATCAACAAAATCTAAAGGAGGGAAAAGTAAGATCCTAAATAATACAAAAGACTTCTGACCCACATTTAGATCTTATTTTGTCCATTTAAGACGTTCATAAATCTGTAATATCCTTGATGAATGTGACCAAGATATGGTATAATCTTCTATAAAATAGGGCATGATTTACAAAATATTTACTGTAGTTTGAGAATTGTGACTTGCATATATGTTTTAGGCATGTTATGTGATACTTTCTGGTTATTACTGGTTATACCTACTAAACACTCACACTCTGCTGCTACATGTATAAACTTAAAACATATGAAAGAAGCAAGAGTTGTAAAGGTTATTTCTCATTCTGTTACAAATCCTAAATTTTCACAGCATAGCAATTTTTTTCAGCTGGAAGGAAAGATTCTAAGTATCAGTTTATAAAAACAGCAATGGCAAAGCTAGAAAAGGAATTTATTTCCTATTATGTACTAGAAGTTTGCAAAATTTTGCACAAGGTTTTATCCCATACAGCACCTGAAGAGCTTAGCAGGTTACAATACAACTCTCAGTCCAGAATCTCTCTTCTACGTTATTTTACACCAAAAGCAATGCTATATAATATACATAGGGCACTCTATTTAGCAGTCTTGCAAGTCTGATAGAAACATGACAGTCTGTAATGAAATGCTTTTAAATTCAAGTAATTGTACTCTGGGGTCCAAAAGTTCCTCTGTTCTCATCTGGTCTATTTGTTCAGTTGTTCTGTGAACCCACTGGAGATGAAAGCCCTTGTTCTACCCAGGAATTTAAAATAAAACAAGAATCATTTGTCTCTCAATTGCTAAGGAACTACTTGTTACAGCATTATTTTAAAACAGAACTTCAAGGGATGTCAGCCCTTTATTGACTAGAAAGGGGAAAAAAAAGAAGTTGTACAGAATAGATGGAAACCCATGATGTTACTTGTTTTATGTCTAGAATCTATGAGCCTGAGGTTAGAAAAGACTTCCAAAGGCAGCAGGGGAGAGGAAGGATGTACATTTACACAGGTATGTTGAGCTACTTCAACAACTAGTCTTCAGTCTAAGCATAGCAGATCTGCAAGCAAACGAAATACTCTGCTGGTAGGTACTATTTCAGCTATCAAGATGGAAGAAGCTTGATGTTGAAGATCACCTCAATACTGTTTTCTAGAGTAATTTTTCCAAAGCTTTCTACTCTAAAAATATCAAAACTAGTTATTGGCTAGAAGAGGAACCTGCAGAAAAAGATGGGTCTCCAAAGATAAGGGGAATATTAACTGAGAATATTAACTTGTTAGAATATAAAAATTTCAGTTGAGTATGAAAGTTGGCTCAGAGCTGCTGGACGTTAAATAGTTTAATTTTAATTACTCTTCACTGACTGTTACCATAGAGATCAGAAAACTTTATTAGAACAGCTCAAGAACAATAGTAAGCACACTTAGAATAATTACTATGACATATTCCAGTGCAAGACCTGAAAAGAAAACAAGCTCTGTTATTATTCAGCTTCTCTCATTCTTACCAAATGCTAAGACACTTGGAAATTCCATTAGCCTCTCCCCAGTTCTTTGAAATGATCAAGTTCTAGGATAGATACCCTGGGCCTTATCTGAGAGACTTTTCCTTCAGGGCCCCGCAGTGAAACAAGAGGAAAGACTACCTTATCTTCAAGATACTTACCAACATTCTGCTGAGTGACTGAATGAGCCCAGCCATTGAAGCCAAACATCTCGTTGGCCAGACTGATGACCTTGTGACCCTCAATGTAACAGACCTGAAAGGAAAAACATCCATATAAATACAGACATGCATGCTTTGTTTTAAAGCAGGATTACACACACCATCTTACACCGAGGAAACCCAGCTAAGTTCCAGGTTCAGATAATGTGAGTAGAAGGCTGACACTGCAGCTTTGGGTTCACCCTCTTTCAGCAACTGTGGCAGGGGCTTAATATGACAAATGTGACTTAGTCAAGGGAAGGCAGAGCGAGGAGGCACTGAAGAGGGTAAAACGCAGCCAATGATTTATAATTCCAGTTCTGGGAAAAAAATAAGAGAAATGTCTCAATGTTCCAGGAGTAGACAAGTATTTCCTTGTCAAGAACGAAACACTGGAAAGCCAGTCTTTTTAAAAAAAATGTTTAAAGAAAACTGTGGCTCAGTAAAAGCCAGAATTCATGCTATACTGGCTTTGCTTTCACATCTGCAGATTAAATTACTAGTGGGAAGTTAACATTTATATATATATATTTTTAAAGGATTATTGTAACTTTTTTTTACTCTAGTTTTCCTGGAAAAAAATGAGCTGTAATGTCTATGCATGTTTGCTCATACCTTTTGTCCTCCTCCAGCCTGCCGACTGCTGATATATTCTGGGCCCAGCCTCTGACGAAGAGCATGCTGGATAGCTTGATATTCACTTGCTGTGTATTGATACTTAACAAAAAAAAAAAAAGGTAAGATCAATCTTATCAATCTTCTCACTCTCCCTATTTTAGCTCCCCCCTCTTCTCCTAATATCACATCTTTATCCCATTTTTCCATGTACAGTCCTTCCAAGAGGTGTATCATCTGTTTTTGGAATTGGGATGTAACAGACAAGGAAAGACTTCAGGGGGTACATGTGCATTACATTTGTGCATTGTCTTGGGTTTTTTTTCCTCTTACTCTTTAAGTATATGTGTACAAGCATTAAGTTTTGAGCTGTAGCAATTCTTTTTCATTTTTCATAAATACCACTTACATGAGAAGAACTGAGATGACTCAGGCCTATTAGTATCCTACTGAAAGCATAATGCAGTCATAATCCTTATGAAGGCTGCCAGGAAGACAACCTTAAGCTTGTATTTTACCTCTCAAAAATAAAATGTAGTATCTCTGTGACCAACAAGAAAAGTGTATTTTAAAATTCCAAGCAAACCGAAGTCTAAACTTACTCTACCACCATGTGCCATCAGGGCAGGGAACACGGCAGTTCAGGCAAGCAGTTAAAACAGAAGTTTCTTGAGGAGTGTTCAGCAAATTCCCCTCACATGGGGAAGGTCTTTTGTATAATTCCAGCATCACTGGAAGCCTAAAGTGTTGTAACTTTTGCTCCTTGTCTTAGTAGAAATGCAATTTACAATCAGTAAAAGTTAGAGAAGCCTAAATGCGTATTTAAGAATTCAAGCACTAAAAAGCCTGTAGCAGTTCTGAACCAGTACTTATAATTGGTGTAAGAATGATCCAGGCCATCTGGGAATCAGACTAAAATGAGCCCCATGTTTAAGGAATAATATTAAAAACCTTTTGTGACGAATCTGGAGCAATTTCTTATAACTCTAGGCATGCCAAGGCTATAACGGAGTAAAATGTAATGTATAATCAGGTACAACCTAGCTAGAATAATGGATATGACTTCAGCCTTCCAACTTTAAAACTAACAAATACGCAGAGCAGATTCCCAGAAGTACAAGCATAAACCTTCTATTTCCCTTTCAGGCAAAAGGAACTGACCTGTCCGAAACAAGCAACTGAATTGCTATTTCTGCAACTGTTGCTGCTGACGTTGCTTTCGCTTTCAGGCATCCCTAAAGATAAAATACAAACACAGAAGATAACAGAACAGTCTGTATGAAGACATGCCACAAAGCTGTTGAAGTCCACTGCCCAGCAAGTATAACAGTATCCTAGACTAGATGTGTTGAACATTACAATAACATTATACTTCTCAGTCCATGGAACTGCTTGCAGTGCCAGTTAGAAAATTGTTTTGTGATGTTTTTTCAAAACAGTAAAAAATTTTCATCTTAAATAAATTATACTATATGGCTACTTTCATCCTAGAAGCCGAGACACTGTTGTGGTCTTCCATCCACATAACTAGTAAGGGTGAGCCTAAATTAAACTATATGAAAACAGTGAAACAATTATTTTATTTAAAGAATAAATGAATTATTCTTGCTAGTCAAAAAAACCCAAACCAAAACAAAAACAAAACACCCCAACATCAACAGCATCTGGATCCTGCATAAGGTCAGAGACTTAAACAAAAAATGGTAACAAATTATATTTTCCCCACTTTTATGTAAAAGGGAATGCATTGTATCATTGTAGGTAAAGAAATACAAATAAATCAGTCTCTCAGATTCTTCAGCGCTGTCTTTCTTGATCACTTGAAATATCCATTAATACTTTGATAAAAAGCAGAGGCAAGTTTCTAAAATCTTACTTGTCTGTACCCTGACTTGTCAGTCTTTATTTTTGATGATCATTGTTTTGACTGTAATAATACCCTCTTATGTAACAATGGTATAATATAAATTATGCAGAGAAAAACCTACAGCACCTGTAAGAAAGTAAAGAAGTTGTACCGATAATTCAGTAGATGGCAGCCTTTTCCAAGACAGTACCCAACAACTACCCAGTACTGCTTTACCACTCCACCCTGCTGCTGGAGAACTGGCCTTGCTGAGAGCTTACACAGCAGGCGTGAAAAGGAGCTGCAGCAGCACTGCTATGCGGCCCCACAGAGGCAGTATTTTATTTGCATAAATGCTGAGTACAATTGGTAGTAGTCTATCACTAAGACTTTTATACACAATGCAAATATAAGACAAATCAACATATATGAGACAGCTGGAGATGTCAAGACAGTTAAGAAAGTCTAAACTCCCCAGTAGACAGTGTTAGTTGACAGTCAGTCAGAACCTAGCTAATATTATGTTTCTCTACTGTTACTCCAGGTTGAGCACTTTTTAAAACCAGTTCTTCTTCTAGTCACTGAACAGGGAAGCCAAAGTTTACTGAGAACTTGGCACCCAATTTTCAGAAAAAGGTGTCCTGGTTTGAGCCAGGATAAAGCCAATTTTTCTTTTTACTGATTTTTTTTTCCTTCAGTAAGCTTTCTTGTAGCTAGCAACAGTGTGTTCTGCTAGGCTGATAAGACAGTGGAATGTTTTTCTAACTACTGAGGCTTCAAGGCTGCACCTGCACTCTGCCAGCTCAGACACTATTGGGAGATCTGTGACCCCCCCCGTAGGAGGCTGAGTTAGACAGACAGCAAAATTGGCCAAAGATATTCCATTCCATATATCTACGTAAGCTCAGAGGAAGGTCAGAGATCACAGAAGACAACTTCCTTCCTTCTTCTTCTCCCCTTCTCTTCCGTCCTTGGCCGGTGTCCAGGGAGGACTCTGTTCATCCGTCACCGTCGATCCTCAGGCTTGATCTCTTGTGACCCCCATAACTCTCTGCTCTGTTCCAGCAGCAGCTCCGGGATTCCTCGGGACTCTTCCCAGTTCAGGGAAGTGCTGTGGGAGTTGCTGAGGGTGGGGGGAGGCGAGAGGCTTTTTGCCTACACCTGAATATATCTGTATATAATTGTATATATTTTCTTGTATCATTCATTAGTGTTTTAACTAAAGCTGTGTAGTTTAGTTTTCAATCCAGCCAAGTCTCTCTCTTTTTCTCTCTCTCCTTCCCTACCTGGGTTGGGGGGAGGGGGGATCGAGAGCATTGTTGTCGGACCTGAGTCAAACTGTGACAACAATTTATTAAAAAGAAGCTAGGTGGTATGCCACTATTGACATTGCAGATCTATTGATCATTGCAGACAATGACCTCGTCCAGCCCTACTCTATGAAAGAACTGCGCCTCATGAGAAAGGACTTCACCCGCATTGATGGTGAGGGAATCCTTCCTTGGCTGCTCCGATGCTTTGATAGTGGTGCTGAGACCCACAATGTGGATGAGAGAGAAGCCAAGCAGTTGGGATCCCTGGCCAGAGATGCTGGTATTGACAGAGCACTTAGTAGCAAGACAGGAACTACCACCCTGTGGGACCGACTTCTGTCAGCTGTGAGAGAGAGATACCCCCACAAGGGTGACATCGAATGGCGCCGAAGCAGAACACCCACTCTTGAGAAAGCCATCACCTACTTGAGAGAAATCGCTGTGCGAGAAGTGATCTATGATAAAGATGGACATCTAACTCAGCCTTTCATGTTCCAGAATAACCTTTCTCCTGTCCATCATGCCACCGATGTGACTTGGAGTAAATGGACTGCTTTGATCACCCAGCGAGCCCGAATAGGGAAACCTAATCGTCCAGGTATTGTGGAAGCAATTACAAACTGGCCAGAAGGCACCCACTTTGGAATGCCACCACAAGAAGTAGTGAGAGAGCATGGGACTCTTAATCCCAGGGTCGTGGGTTCGAGCCCCACGTTGGGCGCCAATAAATTGTTGTCACAGTTTGACTCAGGTCCGACAACAATGCTCTCGATCCCCCCTCCCCCCAACCCAGGTAGGGAAGGAGAGAGAGAAAAAGAGAGAGACTTGGCTGAATTGAAAACTAAACTACACAGCTTTAATTAAAACACTAATGAATCATACAAGAAAATATATACAATTATATACAGATATATGTCACGAGAGATCAAGCCTGAGGATCGACGGTGACGGATGAACAGAGTCCTCCCTGGACACCGGCCAAGGACGGAAGAGAAGGGGAGAAGAAGAAGGAAGGAAGTTGTCTTCTGTGATCTCTGACCTTCCTCTGAGCTTACGTAGATATATGGAATGGAATATCTTTGGCCAATTTTGCTGTCTGTCTAACTCAGCCTCCTACAGGGGGGGTCACAGATCTCCCAATAGTGTCTGAGCTGGCAGAGTGCAGGTGCAGCCTTGAAGCCTCAGTAGTTAGAAAAACATTCCACTGTCTTATCAGCCTAGCAGAACACACTGTTGCTAGCTACAAGAAAGCTTACTGAAGGAAAAAAAAATCAGTAAAAAGAAAAATTGGCTTTATCCTGGCTCAAACCAGGACAAAAGGATACTAGTTGTTTCATTGGTAATTATGCTTGGTGTAGCTAAGATTCTTCTTAATTTTTCTTGGCCAAAAGCTGTACAATGGTACAGTGTTTATAAATTTGAATGCATTTCAATCAAGTTTCCTGCAAGTTGTGGTAAATACATCTGGTTTTGGATGAGAACATTTAAAAGTAAGTATTTCTAGGAGATACACTTGTGATTTAAGCAAATTATTGCCCCTGTTAAGCAGAGTCCACTGTATCAAGGGAGACAATTAGAACAAAATAGTACCTCTTGTGAGTGGTAGAAGGAATCAGGAAGGAAACAGTATTACTTTTTTTCCCCCCACTCTAAGCAGTCTAAATCAGATCTTATAAAACCCTTGGGAAAAAGCCATGACAAAATGTGTGTATTTGCCTACATAGTCCTATTATCAGTTTTGCCACAAATCTTCATGTACAATAGCTAGGAAGCATTTTGAAGGAAAATTACTTTAGCTGAAACCAGTATTAAGTCCTTTAAGTTTGTTTATTGTGGTTTTTGGGTTTTTTTATGGTGTGCTCCATTGTCAGACTAAATTCTCTAAAGACATATGTCTTTAATGAAGCTCTGAACAAGATGTGGGAATTGAATCTGAATGAGAACAAGAAGTACAGAATCCTGCTGCAGACAGCATAACATCACACAGTTTTAATCCAACAGATCAGATGCCACTAGAGAATACTAACAAGATACTTCTTTGGAATAAACAGTTTAAAAACATCTCAGTAGTTTGTATTCAAATTATGTATTACTCTACAGCTTGTGTGAAGGAGACATATGATGTCAGTTCAGTTTCAGGCTTTGCCTGTAGGAACAGCTTGCTTCAGCTGTGAACATGGTTTAAACCAAACATTGTATTAGAACAATGTGGTGGTTTTGTTCCCATCTGGTGAACTGCAGCACAGCAAAGCCTTCTGTCTAAAAGGAGTTGTCAGAGCATTTAAAAGTGAGAGAACTTCAATTTCAAAATTATTTGAGTATGAGTTCAGAAGGGAGAAAAGTTAATTCTGCAAATGTACTTATAAATCTACCTCAATGCCAGAGCTGGGAGCTAGGGATGGCAAGGCACTTTCATTCCTCAATAGAATATTATTTTGTCACCCTCCCTCTCCTAACATTGTAACTCACATGAAAGGAAGACTAGAAAAATGTGAGTCATCTCTGGAAGGAAACAGGAGGTCTAGTTTCCTGGGTTATGAAGAAGGCTGAGGTACTCAACAACTTTTTTGCCTCAGTCTTTGCTGCTCAACTCACAGAAGACAAAGGCAGGGACTGGGACAAGAATGCTTCGCCTACTGTAGGAGCTCACAGTTGAGACCATCTAAGGAACCAGAAGGTGCACAAGTTCATGAAATGCATCTGCATTCCTGAGGGAACTGGTGGCTGAAGTTGCTAAGCCAGTATCTATATTTGAGAAGTCATGGCAGTCCGGTGAAGTTTCCACTGACTGGAAAAGGGGAAATATAGCCCCATTTTCAAAAAGGGAAAAAAATAAGACCCAGGAAACTACAGACAGTCACCTTCACCTCCGTGCCCAGCAGACATGAGCTGACAATGTGTGCTTGCAGCCTAGAAAGCCAACTGTATCCCTGGGCTGCATCAAAAGAACAGTGGCCAGCAGGTCAAGAGAGGAGATTTTCCTCTTCTACTCCACTCTCATGAGACCCTACCTGGGATAATGTGTCCAGTTCTGGAGTCCCCAATACAAAAAGGAAAAG